ATTTTAAACATTTACTATGCTTATAACCCCACACCTGACACCATGTTGTGATTGCAATAATACACGTTCGTTAGCGAGACAACATCTGATTTATTATATGGCATAACTACCTACCTTTACAATAACACAAATACCCACAACAACTACAAATGGTAATCTACTGCTAATGTGGGGACACGTAGCTGTTACTACGGGGACACGCAGCTGACACTGATATTATATTTGTTTTACAGAAAAGGGCCATAAGAGCAATTTCTGATTTAAAGCCTAAAGTGTCGCTGCGCAAAAATTTAAGAAAATTAATATATTAACTTTGGCCTCTCAATACATTTATGAAAATTTAATGATGTACACTAAAATAAAACTAGTTTTACAAAAATAAGTGATATTCATTCTGTAAATACTAGGAACAGACACAAATTAGAAGTACCAGTTACTCGCCTCCATCTAGTCAGTAATTCATTCTTGGGACGATGTATATCGCTTTTAAAACAAAATTCCAGAAAATATACAAAATTTAACCTGCTCAAATTTCAAAAACTCCATTAAACTAAGTTTGTATAAAAAGGTTTATTATAATATTAAAGAATTTATGGATGATAATAACCGCTGGAAATGAGATGATCGCTACCAAGCTATTTCTAATTTGTTGTGTTGTTAATTTGTGTAACATACATGATTGTAAGCTGTTCTTTAAAAAAAAATCCCGCTGGGTTTCTTGCTGGTTCTTCCCAGGACAGAGATTTTTTTTCGAACCAGTGGTAATTAAACAAAAGAGCGACTTTCAATAAGTATTCTTCATAAACTATATTGAATAAAAAAGTTTCTGTTTCTTTTTCTGTGTAAATTGGTTTTTACTTCAATTAATTCATTTAAAATAGTACGCACTTTGCTTTGCAACAAAACATCACAACTAAACTAAGTGCTGTAAAATTAATGATAAAACAAAATACAGTGTTTAATAATGTTCGTTCCTTAATACGACGAAAGTTAACGGCCTTTGGCACATTTACTAGAAAGAATTATGCGTTAAAAATATTTAATTTGTATAACTACACATGTCGCTTGCTTTAAATGCAGCATAATGGTTTATACTACAAAAATTGTATTTGCAAAGGTTAGCTATGGCTTTTAATATAGAATATTTACATGGTACAGCCATGCTGCAGCTTGTAGTGTTATGCTACTTACATATCATTTTACATTATTTTAAATTCATTTTTCCATTCTGTTTCGATTTTCCGCATTCACCTCAAAACTGGATATTTTACATCACCTTTATTTCCATAGGATCCTGTAACGATTTTAAACCATAAGAACACAATAACAAATCATTTCTACTTCGTATTTTCACATTATCAGCACTTTTAAATTGGTGTCAATGGAGTCTACCTTTTTTTTCGATCTTTTAGCTAGTTTTCCGTAACTCTACAATCTCGGGCTTTATGTGGGCAGCTGCGCTACCTTTTTTCCTATATCAATAATATCTCATTTTCCACTTAAATCTTACCGTTTTCTTATTATAAACCTAAAACCAAAATTTGACATGTTTTGACATTGTTATTTATTTCGTTTCCATAGTAATTATATTCAAATTTGCTACCGATCTGTTGTTCCTATTTCGATAATTCCACATAAATACTCTTTTCTCTTGACCATTTACAAAAAATTTGCGTTTAATTTAAATAATTTTTCCGTTCTCTCTAGAAAGGTATAAAAGCCGAACAATCGGTGAAGAAAGGCAGTCTCGCTTCAGTTCGCGAATTGGAAGTATCTCCTAAAGGCCTTATCCCGGGGCCGTTCTGCCCCGGGATCCTGCAAGCCTCCACCTACACGTGAAGTCTTCGGCGAAGCCTTCTTCAAGCGCGGAGCCGCACCACTCCGGAATCCTACAAGCCTCCATCTACCTCGGAAGTCGTCGGAAGTCTTCTTCAAGCGCGGGGGCCACACTACTCCGGGCGCTACGTCTGCTTACTCCAGGCGCCGAGTGCACCTACCGCCGGCGCTACCTTTGGGCGCTGCAACTGCTGGCTCTAAGCGTTGAGCGCACCTACTCCAGGCGCTACGTGCGCCGGCTCCGGACGCTGCGTGTGCTGGCTCCAGGCGCTGCGTGCCGTCGCTGCTAAGAAACCTACCTCTACAAGCGCAACCGGCGTGTGCTGGCTTCAGGCGCTGCGTGCCGTCGCTGCTAAGAAACCTACCTCTACAATCGCAACGTGTGTCGCTTCGACTTTTAGGCTCCACTACAATTCTATATTCCCCTATTCTCCTACCTTTATTTTTTTTTGTAATCTAATTGTACTCTCACTTCATTCATCATCATCCTCATTTCATTTTTTTATAAAATTTGTAAATATCTTTGAATTTTGAATATATTTTTGTTTTTGTTGTATTTTTGTTGTTTTGTTGTATTTTTGTTGTTTTGTTGTTCTTAGGTTAGATTTATTATTGTCGCTTCACGACATTTGGCGTCCAACGTAAAAGTCCTCTTTCTCTCTTAATTCTTCACCTTTACTGCACCTTGTCCATTCCCTTTTGATTTAATTGCTCTCCCTTTCGTTCTTAACTCTTTATTTATTCATCCTTTTCATACCTTCCAAATTCTAAAACAACACTACTTCATCTAGTGTTTCAACGTATCTGGCTTATATTTAGACCTACATTTAACACTTCACTTACATTCATCACTTTAATATTTTTATTCTGGAACAAAACTTCATCTAGTTTTTCAACTTATCTAGATTATATTTAGACCTACATTTAACACTTTACTTACATCCATCACTTTAATATTTCTATTCTAGATAACTTAAAGAGGTATAATTTTTAATTAAATTTTTATTTCTTAAACTTAACTTTACACATAATTATAACAATGAAAAGGGTTATTAAGTACGAATTCCTTAACAAGGCCGAACTCGAATACGAAGTGAAGATTAGATGTGAGGAACCAGCTAATACTGTTTTACTTCTAAAAAAACAGGTTTTGCGTTTAGTTGCGAATTCTCACCCTGAAGATATTCTGACTTCTCCAATTCCGATTGAGGATGACTTATCTCAAATTGATTCTACCTTGACCTACTTGGACTGTAAAATTAAAAAATTTTTACAAGGCGAAACCAAATACTTGCGACTAATAGAAACTTTTATTAATCATATCTTTTACAGAGTGGAACGAATAGATACTGACTTATATCCAGACTTTAAAGCTATTTTCGATACTTTGAAGATGAAATATGACGATATTACTAAACAATTTGAATCCTTGACTCCAGCTCCAACTGAAAATGACCCTCCATCACTTGACCCTCCTGTTGACCCGACTGTCACGGTTGACCCGACTGTCACGGAACTCCCTCTTGTTTCTCAAAATTCTATTCAGGTCCATACCCCGTATCCTCCACCACCACCTCAATCTTTTTCTCCAACCAACGTCTTCAAAGATCTGAAAAGACACACCTTCAATGGTAAAAGCTGTCCAAGATCCTTTCTTCAAAAACTGGAAGAATACTGTATAGCTCGTGACTTGTCCAAAGACTTGTTGATTTCACAAGCGTTTGAAATTTTCACTGACAATGCTCTTCATTGGTTCAGATTTAAATATAATCAGAATCCAAACTTAACGTGGAACGAACTTTCTTCGTTATTAATCAAAGACTTTGGTGGTTTTGATTATGATCACAAACTTTTAGAAGCGATTAGGAATCGAACTCAAGGTCGAGATGAACCTATTGTCATCTATATTTCCATCATGTCTGGAATGTTTTCTCGTCTTTCGGAGAAACTTTCTGAAACAGAACAATGGGAGATTATTTTAAGGAATATTCGCCCATGTTATTCAGTCTTCGTAGCTCTAAAAGACATTGACTCTATCGACTCTCTTCTGGCTACTTGCCAAAACTATGAAAAATTCCTAGACAGAGACAAACAATTTAAAGAACCAAATGTACAACAAAGTCCTCTTATTTCTGAATTCAACTACAAGCATTCCACTTCAAGTTCAGTTAACTCTCCAAATTCTTCTAATAACTCACGACCCTCTCCTCCCCTCATGAATAAATTCACTCCATCCTACAAATACCCTTCTAGACAAGTTAATAGTCTCTCTCAAACTAAAGCTCCTCAACAAACCTCCTTTTGTGTTCGCTGTCGTAAACAAGGACATTCTTTGAACACTTGTACTCAACCACAATTCGTGATTTGTTTCAAATGTGGTCTTAAGGGTTTTAAAACTGCAGATTGCCCTACTTGTTCTCCCAAACCTAATACTAGTTCAAAAAACTAACTACTGACTTGAAAAGTAACTTAAACTTTGATAACGACGATTGGACTAATTGGATTAAAACAATTCAAAACTTCTTTTCTTGTTACAGAATCTCTTCTACACTCTACTCCAAGGAACAAGATCTTAATCGTCCATTCGATAATGTCAAAATTTATAACTTAACTTTATCTGGTTTACTAGATTCTGGCAGTTCAGTAACTATTCTGGGTAATAATTCTCATTTGGAAATTCTTAAACTGGGCTGCAAACTTTTCAAGTCAGATCTTATTACTGTCTCTACTGCTAATAATCAAAAAGTTAATTCCTTGGGTTATTTTGACTTACCTATTCATTTCAATAATCAAACTCATTTAATTAAAGCTTACGTTTTCCCTGAAATATTTCCTTCGCTAATATTAGGTATTGACTTTTGGAGAAAATTTAATCTTTTACCTAGTGTTTTATCTTCTCTTAACTTTACAGAATCTAAATGTTCTGCTCTCGAAACTAAAGATACTAAAGTTTTACCTTATGAGCATTTAACTCCTAATCAAAAGAACATCGCTAATGACATCATCCAACGTTTCAAGACAATTTCTTTTGAAGAAAAAGGTATCCTGGGATGCACACACTTAATCACCCACAAGATTGACACTGGTGATTCTCTTCCAATCAAACAAAGATGTTACAGACTGTCTCCTGAAAAAAAAAGGCGTTAATTAATGAAGTTGACAAGATGCTGCGATGGAACGTCATTGAACAATGCGAAAGTCCTTGGTTATCTCCAGTTCTCATCACTCCGAAGAAGAATGGTGAATGGCGTTTCTGCGTAGACAGCAGGAAGCTTAACTCAGTTACACGTCGTGATGCTTATAGTCTGCCACTAATAAGCGAAATTTTGGACAACTTGAGGAATGCCAAATACTTATCAAGCATCGACATTGCGAAAGCATTTTGGGAGATTCCCTTGAATCCTGCCGATAAGGATAAAACTGCATTTTATGTACCTGGAAGAGGTATGTTTAGATTTAAGGTAATGCCTTTTGGTCTTTCTAACTCACCTGCAACTCTACAAAGATTAATGGATATGCTTTTTACCCCTGAATTTGAGAACAAGGTATTTTGCTATCTGGACGACATCGTTATCATTAGCGAGACTTTTGATGAACACATATCACTCCTCATGAAAGTTCATGAAAAACTTTCATATGCTAATCTGACTATTAACTTTGAGAAGAGTCAATTCTTCAGGAAAGAACTGATATACCTTGGTTTTCTAGTGGACGAGTACGGTCTACGTGCTGATCCAGATAAAATAAAAGCTATATTAGAATATCCTGTACCTACTTGTAGAAAAGAAGTGCGAAGATTCATAGGCACCTGCAGCTGGTTCAGAAGATTCATTCCAAACTTTAGCACTATTGCCTCTCCACTCAATCAACTAACCTGTTCCGGAAAGAACGCTCCTAAATTTTTTTGGAATTCACAAGCTGCAGCTGCTTTCCAGAAACTTAAAGAAGCTTTGGTAACTGCTCCTGTCCTTGCTTGTCCTAACTTCGAACTACCCTTCTCTGTACATTGTGATGCATCAAACTATGGCATAGGAGCAATGCTTACTCAACATCAAGATGACAAAGAAGTCGTGATTGCTTACATGAGTAAAGCACTAAACAAAAATCAACAGAACTACTCAACTACTGAAAGAGAAACATTGGCTGTAATAACTGCGTTAGAACATTGGCGATGTTACCTAGACAATGGTAAAGAATTTACAATATATACTGACCATGCTGCACTTAAATGGTTTCAGAACTTATCGAATCCATCAGGAAGACTTGCTCGCTGGACTTTACGCTTATCTTGCTTTAACTTTGTCCTGAAACATAAAAAAGGAAAGGATAACGTTGTTCCAGATTATCCAGTCCTGATACACGAGAAATTTCACCTCAAGGCGTACATCCTATTACGATTGAAGAACCACCTGATCGTAAACTTGAGCACTACAACAAGATTTTTCTCGGATGCTCCTACAACCCAGACTCATATCCCAACTATACTATCAGGGATAACAAACTTTACCGCTGCATCCATTCTCCCGATCGTCTAAACGATGACTTTATTTGGAAAGAAGTTCCACTACCTCAAGATAGACATGCAATTATTGAAGTTAACCATGGTTCCCCTTCAGAACTCCATCTTGGTATCTTCAAGACATTCAAGAAAATATCTTTAAAATACTATTGGCCTGGTATGTTTAAGGATATTGCCAATTTAATCTCAACTTGTGAAACCTGATTAACCTACAAACACCCTAATCATTCTCCCTATGGTCTTATGGGTAAACCTAAACTTTGCTCCAGACCTTTTCAAACTATATCCTTAGATCTTATAGGTCCATTGCCTATGACTCGAAGACGATATCAGTATATTCTAGTAATTAACTGCATTTTTACTAAATATACTATGATTTTTCCCCTTAAACGTGCTACTTCAGCTAATATTATTAATGTTTTGGAAAATTCAGTTTTTCTAGTTCATGGCATTCCCCAAACTATTATAATGGACAATGCTGTTCAATTTCAGTCGCGAGAATTCCACTCATTCTTAAATTCTTATAACGTTTCTTTTATTTTTCACACAGCTTTATATTGTCCTCAGGTTAATCCTACAGAGAAGTTTAATAGTACAATTATTACAGCTCTAGCATCTCTAGTAGGAGACGATCATAGATCAGGGGACAACCATCTTACTAAGATTCAGTACGCAATGAACAGCGCTACAAATGTAGCTACTGGCTTTACTCCAAACTTTTTAGTCTTTGGTAGGGAAACAATACCTTGTGGTTCCTTCTATACTCCAACTCAGAACCTCGAGGAATTAATATTTATGCCTCGTGATATTTACGCGTCTAATGCTGGTCTCCTCTCATCTATCTTTCACAAAGTTCAAACTAAACTTCACATAGCGCACGCTAAAAATAGCGGTCGCTATGATCTTCGCCGGGCTTTTAAAGAATTTAATGTGGGAGATACTGTTTGGCGTAAAAACCATGTTTTAAGCAATGCCGGCGCATACTTTAATGCTAAACTTACCCCTAAGTTCATCAAGTGCAAAGTGATAGCTAAACTGTCACCACTAGTCTATGTACTTGAAGACCCCAATGGAGTTAGAGGCAAGTGGCACATCAAAGATGTAAAATCATAAATTTTCTTAACTTTTATTAACTATTAATTTGTATATATGTATAAATATCTCCATCATTCTCACCTTATTATTTTTATTTCTTTTAATTTGTTTGTTTGTTTGATGATCCAGTGTTCTTCAACACATCTTGCTTTAGGACCTCGAACTTTCGTTGGTTAATCGTCACTTTTTATTTTTATTTCAGACACATCTCGTTGGTGATGTTGCTGATCTCTGGCTTTGAGCCCTACCGCTCTGGCCGTTCTTAATCTTTACTTAAGTCATAGCGACTAAAGCTTGCTTAAGATTGATTTCTTTATCTTTATCTTCACTTGGGAGCGGTTGACTACTCCCTTAATAATTTTTTTTATCTTCACGCAGGAGCGGATGACAACTCCTTAAATAAGCCTGAATGTCCTTTCGAAAACACACTTTTAAGAGTGGTGTTTCTTCGACTAATTTTTTTTTTCCACGCAGGAGCGGATGACTACTCCTTAAATAAGCCTTAATGTCGTTTTGAAAACACACTTTTAGAGTGGTAGTCATTGAATGTGAACTCCACCCTTACCTGAATGGCAGATGATGAATGTAAGAGATGGTATATCTCATTTCGCCTGTTGTGTATTACCGTTTTCTTATTATAAACCTAAAACCAAAATTTGACATGTTTTGACATTGTTATTTATTTCGTTTCCATAGTAATTATATTCAAATTTGCTACCGATCTGTTGTTCCTATTTCGATAATTCCACATAAATACTCTTTTCTCTTGACCATTTACAAAAAATTTGCGTTTAATTTAAATAATTTTTCCGTTCTCTCTAGAAAGGTATAAAAGCCGAACAATCGGTGAAGAAAGGCAGTCTCGCTTCAGTTCGCGAATTGGAAGTATCTCCTAAAGGCCTTATCCCGGGGCCGTTCTGCCCCGGGATCCTGCAAGCCTCCACCTACACGTGAAGTCTTCGGCGAAGCCTTCTTCAAGCGCGGAGCCGCACCACTCCGGAATCCTACAAGCCTCCATCTACCTCGGAAGTCGTCGGAAGTCTTCTTCAAGCGCGGGGGCCACACTACTCCGGGCGCTACGTCTGCTTACTCCAGGCGCCGAGTGCACCTACCGCCGGCGCTACCTTTGGGCGCTGCAACTGCTGGCTCTAAGCGTTGAGCGCACCTACTCCAGGCGCTACGTGCGCCGGCTCCGGACGCTGCGTGTGCTGGCTCCAGGCGCTGCGTGCCGTCGCTGCTAAGAAACCTACCTCTACAAGCGCAACCGGCGTGTGCTGGCTTCAGGCGCTGCGTGCCGTCGCTGCTAAGAAACCTACCTCTACAATCGCAACGTGTGTCGCTTCGACTTTTAGGCTCCACTACAATTCTATATTCCCCTATTCTCCTACCTTTATTTTTTTTTGTAATCTAATTGTACTCTCACTTCATTCATCATCATCCTCATTTCATTTTTTTATAAAATTTGTAAATATCTTTGAATTTTGAATATATTTTTGTTTTTGTTGTATTTTTGTTGTTTTGTTGTTCTTAGGTTAGATTTATTATTGTCGCTTCACGACAAGCTATATTAGAAGTATATATTTGTAGCACGAATGGGTCAGCTCGATCGAGGAAACACAGAATACCAGCGTAAATCAGCTACTTACATATACCAAAAGCTTTTGTAAAATAAATTAAAGAACATACTCCATTAGTACACAATAGCCGAATTTATCTCAGGAATCACGTGGTATCTTTTAGTATTCTAAACGTATAATCCATAAAGACAAGTTGTATAGCCAAAGGCTTAACGTACGTTTTGTATTAAATCTAACTAAAGCTAAAAAAACGTTTAATAAAATGTACAAAGCGGCTTTGTACATCATTTTTACAATGACTTATCTTATTTTCGAAGAATATTTCTTCTTTTTTATATTATTTTTTAATTACGACACGACTGGTGAGAGATCAGGCGCAATACCAACGGCTTTATTTGATTTCCGAGGCACGGAGATGTAGCCCCGGCAATTTCTGACTCAAAACTGATACTGAAAATTTCTTGATAGAAAACCCATTATCTGATTTTGGCCCGACTTAAGATTTGTACTCGGGATCACACGATCAACAGTCGCGCTTACAACCACTAGACCAATGAGGTCCAGTCACTCAGTTACAGTTACTGTAATTACGACAATAATAAATGATTTCCATTTAGTAAATTTTACATATAAAAATATTATGACTACATGTAAAGTACGTCAAGAGCTTAGTGCACTTTTTCAGAATCTAATATTTTCTCAAAAACGAAACGTCAGCTGCGCCTAACAACGAAACGCTGTTAGATAAACAGTTCGCCTGAAAGCAAGTAGATGCTAAGGCCCATAGACATATATATTTATCCTCTATCTCTATCTCATCATCATCATTACAGCCCTTCACAAGTCCACTGCTGAACATAGGCCTCCCCCAAAGAATGCCACAAAGCACGGTCCTGAGCCACCTGCATCCATCGACTTCCTGCATATCTTACCAGGTCGTCACTCCATCTAGTGGGGAGACGCCCTACACTTCGCCTGCCGGTACGAGGCTGCCACTCGAGAACCTTTCTTCCCCATCGGTTGTCGGTTCTTCGAGCTATATGGCCGGCCCATTGCCAATTCAGCTTACTAATCCGTTGGGCTATGTCGGTCACTCTAGTTCTACTGCGGATATCCTCATTTCTGAGTTTATCACGCAGAGAAACTCCGAGCATAGCCCTCTCCATAGCTCGCTGAGCGACCTTGAGCTTCCTCATCCGGCCAGCAGTGAACAGCCACTTAGGAGCCTTCAAGAAAAGAGCTTACACCTTTCTAAAAGGCCGGCAACGCATCTGCGATTCCCCTGGTGTTGCAGTTGTTCATGGGCGGCGGTAGTCACTTACCATCAGGTGAGCCGCATGCTCGTTTGCCCCCTCTTCTATAAAAAAAAAAAAAAAAAAGTGAAGGACCACGTCTCAGTTCCGTATGTCATCACTGGCAACACGCACTGGGTGTACAGTCTCGTTTTCAAGTTTTGAGGTATACCTGACGAAAAGATGTGTCGTAGCTTCCCGAACGCTGCCCAGCCGAGTTGAATCCGTCGATTGACCTCTCGGTCGAAGTTGGACTTACCTAGTAGGACTATTTGTCCCAGGTAAACATACTCGTCAACAACTTCGAGCTCAGTGCTCCCAACAACTACCGGCATAGGTGTGACATGGACATTGAACATGATCTTTGTTTTGTCCATGTTCATCTTAAGACCTATCCGTTGGGAAACACTATCGAGGTCATTGAGCATACTGCTTAGGTCCTCCAGCGATTCTGCCATAAGGACTATATCGTCGGCAAATCGAAGGTGAGTGATGTACTCGCCATTGATGTTGATACCGTATCCTTTCCAGTCCAGAAGCTTGAAAACGTCTTCCAATGCAGCGGTGAAGAGTTTCGGGGATATGACGTCACCCCGTCTTACACCTCTCTGCAATTGGATAGGTTTCGTACTCTGGTTCTGTACTCGGATAGCCATCGTAGCCCTACAATACAAGCACTTCAACACTTCGATATACCGACAGTCAACTTGGCACCGCTGAAGGGACTGCAGCACCGCCCAAATTTCGACGGAATCAAAGGCTTTCTCATAGTCCACATACGCATAGTGGCAAATTGTACTCTTCGGACTTCTGTACAATTTGCCGAAGGGTATGTATGTGGTCTATGGTGCTAAAGCCCTTTCGGAAACCGGCTTGTTCGGGAGGCTGGAAGTCGTCAAGTCTGCGCGCGAGACGATTCGTAATGACTCTCGAAAACAGCACGAAGACGCGGCTCAGAAGGGAAATCGGTCTGTAGTTCTTCAAGAGAGCGTTGTCACCTTTCTTGAAGAACAAGACCACCGCACTTCTGCTCCACGCCTCCGGTGTAATGC